GTTATTTTTGAACATTGCAACAATGCTCAAAAAAACTAACCAAATAGGAAACTAATCAAAATAGGTTTGAAAAGGGGGGGGGGGGGGGGGGGGCAGACAGCCTAACATGGAGAAAAGTTTCTACAAAGTTAGAACCCCTATTTGCTAGCACGTAGAAGCAAGACAGGATGCAATTACCCCAGCATAATTATTTTGCCCATACCTATTAATTCCTCATATACTGCATCTTAGGTTGGAGTTCTCTACTATTTTTATGAGATTCAACTATGCAAGGAAATGAAAAATATTTTGGAATTGTATAGTAAAGGAGAAAACTGTCCAGTACAAAGACCAGAGCTAAAGGATAGTCTTTTTTAGTCTAATCACTATATCAATCAAAATAGGTTTATTTAAACATCTATTCTTAATTAATTATAGAATCTTAGGAGCATCAACTGCTGAACATACAAGAGTTTCCAAAAATACTGAAAACTCTGAAGAATAATCATTTCGAAATCAGTACCCAAAGATTTTCCACTGTGGGGAGAATGGACAAAGAAAAGGAAAGTGGTTCATGTTGGACTCTCTCCTTCCTGCCATCAGCAGACTATTGAAAAATTCAGGTGGGAGATAAACCATGCGTCCTGGGAAGAGGTGACACAGTTTGGGAAGAAGCAGACAAAAAGCTATTTAAAACCACAAAAATGTAATCAATCACTGCCAAAGGTAAGTCAATACAGTGCAAGAGCAAGGGGGTGGAAAAAATGAAAATACTATCCTGTTGGGCAGAGGCATCATAAGACTTTATCGATAAAGCCCTTCATAGCCTTGAATAAAGAAATAAAAGATGAAATTCAACTATAAAGAAAAGTGGTTAAAATAAAAATGGAGACATAAGAGAAATGAGGTGATGCCTTCCTGCATCATCTGCAAATCTAGCAGCAAGCTGTCACCACTTTTTAGAAGATCTACTTGTCTCATGTGCACTTTAGTAGATGTAGGACAGAATGACTGCATTATCTCACCATTTAGTTTCCTTCCCCTCTCGTGATCTTACTGTTCTGGGAGTTTACTTGGGTGTTAACAAGCAGAAGAAACTTCACTGTTCATGATACATTCAAAAGTGTCCTGGAGGGCTGTCTCATGCCTGCCTCTGCACTATAGCAGTCAATTTGCAGCATATCAGGCAGTGGAAGGGTTGGAAACTTTTACTAAATCAAAGGAAGAAAAAAAAAAGGCAAATAGAGCAATAAGTCTACTGCTGTCCCTGACAAATTCAGCAAAATCTTGAACCTTCCAAGGAAAGAGGAATTCTCTCAAGAAACTTGGCAATGACTGGAAGAAGCAAATTATTAAGTCAGCTGTCATAAATTTCAATTTAGTTGGAGAAAATAGTCCAACTGTTACAAAAGCCCATTCCCATTTAGCCAAAAATACAGAAAAAGGGGTGAGAGATCAGAGTTCCTAGTTCTCTCCTATGCAAAAGCATCACCAAGTCACCTGCAATACACTTCTACTCTAGTAGAGATCGTACTGTGAGATAGTGGTTTACTCACTTGCCAAGACTTCTGAGAGGAAGCGCTCAGCTTAATACATAATCTGTTTCTGAGCAGAAGGCTTTTAAAATCACCCAGGCTCAGAGCTAATCTGGTTTCCTCCTTTTATAGGCAGCACTATTCATAATTGGCTTCCATTGGCCAAATTCACTTCTACTTGTACAGCCGTATCGCACTGGTGTGAACTGCTCTGTTGGTGATACATGACAAGACCTGCTCTCTGCTGCGTCATTGCCTGTTTGGGACCTCAGAAGGGAAGACACAGGCATTACACTGGCAACTACTTCTAAATAACTGGCTCAATGCCTGCAGATGCTGCATACCACTCCAAAGAGGGCACAGAAACATTGTTACCCCGATGCAGCAACACTTTACACTGATGAAAAAAATCTTGCAAGGTGGAGGGCCATAGCTAACCAGCCTAATTGCAGATCCTCTTAGTAAGCTGATGCTATTTTTATATTCATTTGTAAGCAAACAAATGCACTTTCACCTCTGCCTCGGTTATTACTGCCGTTAACTTACAGCTTGAAGCTATTCCTGTGCTAAAACACCTGTAGCTCTGCTATTGCTGCTTTCACTGTTTGTACAGAGCAATTCAGGAAGGCACATTCCTTTGAGGAATCAGCTTAACACGAAATTGTCTTCATTTAAAAGTCATGGTTATCCTATTGAGAAGTTTCTGCAGGACAGAAACTATCAGGTTATTGATATACAGGCTTTCAAACTTACTTTAGCAACTGTCAGTTGGAAAACCAAAGCACTGTATAACATTTTAGTCACGATTCCTGCAGGTGCCTAAGTGATAGAAGGTGAAAGCTGCAGTTCTTCACTAAGCAAGAGTAAATGATAGAAGGACTTGGGAATCCAGACTTAATGACAATCATGTAATTCATTTTAAGAATATGCAGTCTCACAGTGCACTCTCACACAACATCAAGGCTGAGCACGTACAGGACACGAACTTATATTGCTATATTGTCCCATACGCAAAATATTAAGTTCATAGAATTATGTTTATGATGAATAAAAGTTAACCCATGAGGGGGATCAGAAACAGTTCATCATTAGCTCATGATAAGCTGTGCTAGTAGAACAGTTGTACTAAATATTCATTTTGCATTATGAAACATGAGTTAAAACATATGGGGGGGGGGGGGGGGGGGAGGGCTACAAATATTTGATTTTTTCATCCGCCTTATTAAAAAAAAATCTCAGACTGCTACAGCAATGAAAATAAACTCACTAATTGTGCAGTGGGTGAAAAACAGAGTGTGTTATTGCAAAGGGTTATGAAGCTAGTCTCAGTTGGCTTATGCTGCTGTTATCATTGATCTTTTAAATCATAAACATTTGAATACAAGTTCATGTCCATTTTCTTTTTTCTTTCCCAGTAAAAAGGTTTCACTTTCATCTTGTGTTTCTTGCCATTGTTGTTGGTAAGTCCCTTTCCTAAAACTACCCAATGCCGCTGAGTCATTCAATACTCACAATTATTGGTTTCAGTTTTATTTCAATTTGAGGGATGGGAACTTTTCTGGCAAGTCAGTAAACCTACTTCAAAAGGAGCTGATTGCTTAGCAAACAGGTAGCGTTGTCTTTGTAACAGAGCAATGTGTCAGGACAGTTGTCTCACACAGCTGGTCTGCTGCGTCACCCTAAAGCTGCCATCAGCAGCCTCAAGCACAAAGTCCACCTGTATTCTTTCTGTTACAGACAAACATTCATCACAGGGTGGGACGGTCCAGAGTCAGCACCTATAGCAGGCTTGGGATTTCAGGACAAGTCGGTGTAATGTGAAAACAGCCCTACAGCTGCCCTAATTTTTGGAAGAGACTAGTTTGGATTCCTTGCTCTTCTGGGTAGGGAAAGCTACACTGAACGCTTTATGTGGAATGTAATGCTGTGCAGATACCAAAGCTATCTTGCAGCCTGGAAATAAGAGAGCTGTGTTTAGTCCAGACCAACTAGTGCATTAATAAAACTGTTGTTAAGACAAATTAAAGAAAATAAGCCAAGGTCTAACAAAGGGCCCACGCTCAACACATCATTAACTTATTGATATTATTGACAAAATAATCCTGTTTGAACTGAGAGCATCGAAGCTTACATTCCACAGCATTTACTACACTATATAACGTTTAAGTACCTTATGAGATGTGGTCCCATAATCATGTTATTCTCAACCCAGAAAGCTTTAGAACAAGCAAGAGAACCCAGTTGTTGCTGTTGAACTTGTGTCAAGGTAAATTGCATTACTACTGGTAGCAAAAGAAAATAGATGTCTGATAGTGGCACAAACAGTCTGGTCCGCAAGAGATCACTGGAAATTCTAAGGGCAAGAAACAGAAGAGTGATTCTCACCACCCTCATCCATTTTTAAGTGCTGCAAACAAAGTAATAAATCCACACTTTAAAGCTAACTAAACACTAGATCTGATTCGTTGGACAAGAAACTCCAAAGAAGCTGTATTCATCTGTTTGTAACTTGAGAAAGACAGTGTTTATAAAAAAAAAAAAAAAATCAAATAATAAATCCTTGAGGTTATCATTATCTTCCTTCCTTGCCCAGAAGGGAGGAAGAAAGATTCCTAATTGATAAAGCTTCATTAACTTACCTTTTCTGGTACCCCAGCTATTTTGGTATCTTTAAACAGCATTATACAGGGTTAACATTCCTAAGGCCTTCAAAGCCACTTCTGCCAAAGCTTCCTCCTAAATATGCTTTTCACTTTACAAGCATTAAAGAATTCTTTGTACTTAGTCTTCCAACCGAAGGACTGTTTATCATGTTTTCATTCTTTTTATAGTTAAGGTTCTAAAAATTAATGGCGCGTTTGCTAGCAGGCATTTTTTAATACCCTTTTATCATTGAATTCTCAGTGCTGAAGAGTAGCTTAATGCCTTTGGAGGGGAAGAGAGTATTCTGCAAGAGATCATACTATACTATTTCATGAACACTAATGGTGGCTTCACAAAACCACTTTCTCCTGTCACAAGTCACACAGCAACACAACTTGTGATGTTTCTGTTATATTCCTTTCAACTAATTGCAAGACAATCATCTGTGTATGTATTCTTTCACAAGTTGAAACAATATGCAATCATTTAGATTTACATTCCTCCTCCAATCACTTCTCCAAACCGTCAGGATGAGAGAGTTGTGTGAAGTTATTTCTTCTGGTGTTATCATATTTAAAGTCTACTTACAGAGAAGCAGAGGAAACAAAAATGATTTTCTAGGAGGAACGTCATTACTCTAACGTGGTTGGTTTTTTGAGTCTTAATATAAATTTTAGCCAGAGAAATATATAAGCAAGCCTTCAAAACACCAGCATCTGATCCATGAACGCAATATTGAACCTGTGGGTCTTCCATTTAGAATTGAAGAGGGCGGAGCAGCAAAGGGCAGGAAAGCAGGGTTTTTTTATGAATACATAAAAAATATTTTATTTCTCTCCTTAATCGCAGTTTCAAACAAACAAACAAAAAAGTTAGTAGTGTTGACATACCCCTCTTCCCCTTCAAAAGGTTACAAGGTTAAAGGAAGAAGCTTTATTTCCCTTTCTGCATTTGACTCCTCTTTGCCTGTGCTATCCCAGAGCTCCTTGGGCTTTGGTTCACAGTGATGGTAAGGCCTGCCGGCCTCCTCATCCTTTCAAAACTGTAGCATTCAACTTTTTCTTCACTGGAGACTGTCCTGGTGCTTATGAGGCGAAATCCATCTTTTAGTAAACTGTCAACCAGCAGGCCTAGCACATTAGTACCATTAATCAGCTTTCTATTATCAGGCTTTATGGAAACATACCTAAAATAAGAAAAAAAGTAGTTAGAATACAATTCAATTACTTCCTGAAGGTCCTGAAGGATGGCTTTTTTTTTTTTTTTTAAACACATCAAGTCCTCACATGGTGCACATCAGCACAGTTGCACTGATTTGCACCAAGATTCTGAATTTTTTTCTTCCCTTGAGGATGATTTAGGTCTTTCCCTCCTTATAAGAACAGCACTCTTCAGCTTGTCCAGTTACATGTTACAGAATAAGCACTTCTCTTTCAGCCTCACAACAAAGCTTACTTCCTTAAGAAATAGTTGTGACAATTTCCATTTAATTTCATTTAATGGTGGGAAACCAACTAGCATGTTCTGTATCATTGCAACAGGTTTTCAAGTATGTATAGTCAAATGACAGAAGGGGCAATGAACCCAGGTTCATCTCAATAGCATCACTCCTCATTACACAGGATCTCTCTCTACAAACAGTAACATTTATTGCAAAGTTACCCTGTACAGCAAATCTTATGGTAACAAGTATGAAAATCATTTTCACATTACCTCAAATGATTATACTTGATATAAAGTAGATTTAAGAATTTATCCAGACATTTCAAGGAACAGAAGTCATGTAAAAATACTATTACAAAATACATAAGTTGACAGGGGTGAAACTGTTCCACAGTTCACAGAAAAGTACACCAAACATTCATGAAAAGCACAAAAAAAGGCATAGAGTCCATGTCACCCACAAAGTCTAATTAAATAGAAATTTAGTAGGCAACATAATCAAAGTTGACTCGTTTCATTAATCAAGCTATACTTTTCTATTGATCTGCAAAGGAGAAATTTTACTGCGTCTGAAGAGGAAAAGGTGAGAATTATGAATACTTCTTGCAGTATTTAAGTTGCCATAACCTACTAAAGCAACTGTTAGTCCATTAAAACTAAAAATAAATTATAAAATTAAGGTTTGGCACATAAATATAGGATGCTACACAAATGCAAACTAGTTTAGTGCTTCCTCTACTTATTTAACTAAAGGAAGTTAAAAGAAAGAAACTTTACTGATTTTTTTTTAAATAATCAAAGAACTGCTGTTAATTCCTATATTCAGCAGAGAGAATAACCCTGCTGGAACTATTCCAATGAAATTTCCATAAAATTCCAGATGTTCTGAGAGCCACACAAGACAAACTAGGTTAAATTTTCTTGTACACTTAGAATGCATGTCCATACAAGAGAAACCCAGTAAGAGTTTATTAAAAAAAAAAAAAAAAAAGAAAGCTATTACATTAAAATATAATGCTACTATCTCAAATATCACTGGTTTACAGCGATTTTAATAAAAACAGAACCTGGCTCTGATCTTAAAGAAAACCTGCTTTGTGGCATATAGTTAATTTTCTACCCTTTCTCTCTGTCCCCGCCCTTCCCCCATAAAAGGCCTTACAAACCTTCCAGTTGTCTGAATGGCTCATGTTCTCCACTCGTTTAGCAATTTTTTTTTCCCCACTTTTCTGTATGAAAGCCTACGGGTCCATGAGCTAGTGGCCACTTCACTTGTCTTTCTCCAGTAGCTCACTCCTTATTCATTTTGTTTGCTTTGCTTCATTTTACTCTGTGTTTGTCAAGTTTTCTAGAAGGTCAGTGATGCTGTGAAACTCTGAAGTGTAACAGAGAGAGCAAGGAGGAAACGAGAGATAACGACCCGAAAGAAAACAAGTATCAAGAACAGTATTTTAGAAAGTCAGAAATATTTTTGAGAATAGGCAAATCAGTATAACAAATCGGGTATTTCAGCACTGGAAAAATGTAACATTAAACAGGCAGAAAGAAGGAAACCTATTTCTTTTCTCTCAGACAATTGTTCAATAGTTTCTTTCGAATGAGTCCTACTAGCAAGCAGAAGGTACTTCATGAACTAGAACTCACGAAGCCATCTCCATAATGAGAAGTCACACTAGGGAGAATACCTGGCCACAAACTGGTCACCAGCAGAGTAGTCAGTACCACACTGAAAAACCACATCGTGATGAGAAGGTCTTTCCAAAGGAAGTGGAATGAGTGGCTTCTGAGAAGAAAAAGGGCTATTCCAGCTCTGTCCTGACTGCTGCCCTGTAAACACAGTAATCTGTTCAGCAAGAGCCTCCACAGTGCTACTGCAGGAACCAAAGATCCGGAAAAAGGCTTGCCCTTCCTGGAGAAAAAAACGCACTTCCAAGATCTCCAGCTTCGGCTTCAGCAAGTGTTCCTGGCTCAGGAGGTCAGCCAGAGAGTAGAGCTCATAGAATTCTGCTTCTCTCTGTAGCCTCTGATAGTCTGAAAAATCAGTGGGTAAAGAGACCTGAAGAGTCCTCAAGAAGTCCATGATGTAACTAAACAAATTTCCATCTCTGTCCACAAAAAACTCCCCATTCACCTGTTTAAATTCACGGTCTTCATCGTTCAACATCCGTGCTAACCTGGACTCAGGGAACTGCTGCAAGGTAGAAGCCCGGGTTACAAATCTCATCCCTCCCACACTGAGAACAACCACCTCTCGATTACTCATTGTTATCTCAACCGGTCAAGAATTATAACATCTTGCCCTGTGCGTTTGTGACTTTATCCTTCCTAAACTGCAAGCCATCTGCAGCTGCAAAAGTTGTTCAGTGCTTTTAGCAAGTGTTTGAGGTGAGGTGTAGAGCAGCAATAAGATTCCCAGGCAACAAAGATGTAAATACCACGTACAATAGTTTTGTTTGCAGGGTTTGGTTGCTTGGAAACTTTGATTCTTGGAATTTAATGCTTTATTTTTGAAATGAACAGCTTCCAGTTCTACTGGAAGACAGTTAATTGATCATCATACCTTTTTAAACCTTCATAGAGACCAAGGAATATCCCCAAAGTATGGCACCCATTTCATTTGCTTCCTGGAGATATAAGAAGATGTTTTCATTCTATAGATTGCTGCTCATAGGACCACTGCAAAAAGAGGTTGAATGAAATTTGAGTAATATATTCCAGTATTATATACTCTTCAAATAACTGAAGCTTACATTTCATTTTAAATCATTCTGTTATCCTATGGCCAAGTCAATAAACTCAGAAAATTCAGATCGTTCCTGAAATAAGGTACCTTAAATCAAACAGAACACCAAAAGAGACTACATATGTTCCAAGGCTAAAGCACTTCCAAACACCAACAGCATTCATATTCCTGTGACGTTATGCCCTCTGTTCCAAGAAAACACCCAACCTTTTTTTCCCAGCTCTTGGAATTACGACCTGGAGATACAGAGAGGGAAAGGAGAGACACTGCCCTATCGGCCACCTTGGCAGGGCTAGAACACAAGTTGGATCTAACAGCACAGCTCAGACACCCTAATATTTTCATGCTGGAAAAGTAAACCGCAAAATATGTACTATCTTGCTGCTTGTTCTTATCAACCTTTACTAATTTCTCTTTACCCCTACAATTTATTCAAAATGCTTGCCCTGAAAATGTTTTTGGATAGCATGTGTAAACAATAACCAATATCTACAGTACTGTGAATACACAACAAGATACTTAAAACATTTGGTTAGACCTAAAAAAATCCGTTTCAGTGAAAAGTAACATCCTCAGTAAGAAAGAGTTTCCAAAATATGAATTAATGCACTCAGTACTTTGCAATGGATGGATAGTCTTAACAAGTCTCTCTGTATACCACTCTTCTCAATCATAAGTGTTCTTCCTCTTTCCAAACTACCTCCCAGTTAGAAAAAAAAAATTAACTACGTTTTTTAGGACGCAACACTTTTTATCGAAAGGTGTACAATATCTTATTCTACAATTACATTAACATTAAACTAAGTACACAGTTTTGCCCTGTATTTTGGTAAGTAAAATGATTTACAATGAATAATATTCCCGTAATCACCACTGAAATAAAAATTCAGAAATAATATTTTTTTCAAAGCTCAATTTCACCTCCCAATTTATCGGTGTTCAAACTATGTGAACAGTAGAAGTATTGTGGAGTACTCTGAATCTCTCTAAAATGATTTCAGTGGAAGTCTTTTAAAAAATAATAATAATTTTACAGAGTTTTATGTTTTCTTCACCAGATCTGTGTTATTTCTTACATTTCAGTAGGGACTTCACAACAATTTATATTTGCACACAAACTGTGCAACATTATCCAGTACCACTAACGTATAGTTTTTACACTTTTCTCTTAAAAGTGAAGCTCCATCTGTCATCTGTTCCCAGTAAAAGATTGCATGATCTGCTATCTCCACTGTATCTGCCAAATAGGACAAGCTAATTGTAAAGAATTGAGATTTCCAGCACTGGAGATTGTCAACCACAGACTCCACAAAGGACATTCTGGTGACAGCAAGGATAAGCAAGCAAATAAGAGAGGTCACTACAAATCTGGAAGAAAAGACTGAGGGAATCTTGAGTTTAAGAGTGTTGTTTTCCTGAGGCAAGGAAAGCTTGTCCACATCAACTAGTTTTATTCCATTCCACTGGCTGGTATCAAAGTTCTTCATCGTAGGGCTGATGTCTACATTGGAACAAGGTAAAGGGGTTTCTTTGAGCACCTTGATTTTTTCCCTGAATTCCTGCATCTGTTGCAGAAATATAATGGGTTCAGACACATCTTTGAAGGCCTCTGCAATGTTAAAAGCCATTCGTTGCTCTTGCAGGATTGTGTTCAGTTTATTGATTTCCGGGTCATAGGCTTGCATCACTGCAAGTTTCATAGTCTCAAAGTCAGAGAGAATCTCATTCCGTTTCTGCTCCAGTGTGTGCTGCAGCTTCTCAAAGAACTCTTTCACCTTGTCAGAATCTTTGGTGAGCATCTGCAGAGCTTTCCTCTTACTAGTTTCTAAGGTATCCAACCGGGAGAGCGCATCTCCGCAACGCCATGTTTCAAAGCCCTGGAACAGGGTTTCAAACGCACGCTTCTCCTGGGAGTAGGCTTCCTCAATAGAACAAAACACATGCTTCGTATGGTCACCACGGGTGGCGCAGACCCCACAGATCAGCTGCATGTCTGTCCGGCAAAAAATGTTAAGGGGTTGCCCACTGTGCACTTTGCACACAGGCATTTTAGGAGTTACTTTGATTTTGTTATACTTCTCCACAATTCCTTTCAGAGAATAATTGACTTGTAGGCTGTTGACTCCAGTAACAGGAGTTTCCTTCCTGCATGTGGGGCACTTGAAAGGGGACGGTCTCCAAAGCACATTCCGCACATTTCCCTCGAGTATTCCTTCCAAACACTTCCTGCAGAAATTGTGTGAACAGGGCAGGACACGAGGATCATCAAACAGGCTACAGCAAATGGGACAGGTGAGATCTTCCTCCAGGAGCTCCATCATATCCTAGGAAGGAGAATAAAGATAATAACTGAACTTTAAAAATGCATTTCTCCTCCAGGAAAGCTATGCAAAAATTCATCGCCATCTGAGAAAAGGATCTATCTTTTTTCCTCAAACAACCTTAAGACAAAGCCTCAGCTGAGCTCATACAACCAGTCCCACCCCAGAACTGGAAACTTCACGAATGGATTAAATTAGTTGTGGTATCTGGCCACCAGATGGCAGGCACAAGAACGACTCAGTGTCCAGGCAGAACCATTTTCTGACTCTCAATAGAAATGCTGGAAAAGAAGGCTAGCCAAATCCAGCAAGGACTTTCTGTATCAAACAAAAATAACTCGTGTACTAATGATTCAAAACTTGAATCTTTCTTCACTGATGCAAGACTCAGAAACTGGATTTTCACCAAGGATACCAAGCTGATATGCCCTGCTCAGATTTGATCACTCTCTACTTGTTCAACTCCTGCAGAGCTTAATGTTTTAAACATCAAGCACCACTGCTTTAAGAAAGCAATATTAAAAGGTGGCTGAAAAAGCAAAGTGTCAGAATTTCTTCAGCTACAAAACATGTGATGTAGCTTTTTTCCATCTGCAAAGACAAAGATGAGTCACCATTTACTTAAAAACTTATTTTTTTCTCTTGCTCCCACAGTATTTGTAAATAAACAAGAAAATGAATTATTACTGAGCAATTCAGCACAAAGTTAAAACACTTCAAAGAATAAGCTGCACTTAATCCTAAAAATTCATAGTGGAAAAAAATTGTTAACCATTTTTACTCCTATGCAATCTTTATTTCCAATTCCATCTGCACATTATCAGTGCTTCAGCAACTCCTATTCCTGGACAGGACCTACAGGAAGAGGATTTATCATATATCTTTGTATTGGAGTAGCCCTCTGAAGCCTCAGTAAACGGACCCAGACCACTGCACTCCCACTGGCTTTAACCAAAGTCGAGCTGTCAGATGCAGACACCTTATAACTACAGCATGCCCTAAGAAAACAAACAGCTAACAGAGACCACAATTGGTGACAGTGAGTATTAGTCAAACCTCTCAAACAGTTCTGACAGTTTTGATACGTTAAAAGGTGCTTCCTTTGTATTCAATCCTTTCATATTACATACATATAACAGTAAAATGCCTTTTATAAATTAAAAGATGTATCACAAAAAAATTGCATCCAAGCAGCCCTGTAACAACAAAGCATAGGAGTGAGCTCTTCTAAAGAGTTTTGATATTATTACTAAGGTTCCAGCCCCCTCAAGGAGATGTAAACTGGCAAACAAAGGGAGCCAAGAGAAGAGCTGCAAGGGAACTGCAGCATAGGCTGCACAGGACAAGAGCAGCAATAAAATCAATACCACTGATCCAAGGAAAGTAAAGATAACCATAGGAAAGAAAGAGAACATCAATTCTGAGTTTCTGTCACAAGAGAACAGATACAGCTGCAGCAAGACTTCACAGTAAAAGCTATTCTTGAGAGGTGTAAGCAAATCTCCCACACTTTGCCAGTGACAAGAAGTAGGAGAACATATGTTTGTTTGGATAAGCAGAGTTTGAAAAAGTTGCCAACTTTTCTACTCAGCCTCAGGACTAAGGTCATCAGGCAGAAGAAAGCCACCATTAAAGCTCGGGACAAAGCCCCAAAGAATGGTCCATTACTCCACTTGCAGCCTAAGGATTCCTACAAGACCACAGATACTATTCAGAAACCTCATTTTCTAATGGCAACATCCTCACTAGTAAGTCATTTTGAAGCAACTCTCACTGCTGAAACACGCAAGGTTTCTCTCTTCCATCCTTTCCCTAATACGAAAAGAATGGAATGAAGGGAAGGGGATGATTTTGCCCCTATAGTCTTGAGTCTTCCTCTTTACGAACAGATCTCTCTCTCTCTAAGTTTACCCATGACTTTTAGCCATGGGTAGCAGCACAAAGACGACACAACTCACAGTTGTGCTAATACGCGAGAAAGAGGAAGAACTGCAAAACTAAAACGGCAGTTCTCCATCTTTCAGTATTTGGAAATTTACAGTACACAAATTATTTGCTCTGGTGCACCTCCTTTACCACGGAGGATTTTACTTTTTAATTAGGGAGCAGGAATACAGGCTTTGCATATCTGAGAATGAGTACTGCAAACCACTACAGCAAATACTTACTACAGGTTTTACTGAAAATGCAGGACAAACAGTGAAAACTTCCATGCTGTTAAAAGCACGAAAACATGCATGAAAAAGTTTCATGATCCAAATAAAACTTTCCTGGTGCATTCCAATCCTATTTATCCAATTAAATAATTATGCTTTATAAATGGAATTGAATGTCAAGAACATTATATGACCTCATTAAAAACTTAGAATGTAAAAAAATAAATGGGGAAGCCTATGAGCATATTTTCTTTTCCTCTTGCAACAATGCCAGTAACACCAAACCAAGAATACTAAAAACTTGTATGGCTGGTTGGGACAGCCGGATCAGCTTGGCAACTCAATTTTATTTTTCAGCTTCCCTCTTCCTTACAACATTAATTTCAAAGAATACAGTTCCTGTGGATTAGAACATCCGTTTTATTAGAAACTTGACAATTGTGTGAGTGACTACAGCACAAAATCCAGCAACATCTCAGCTTCTCTACTGAGCTGCACAGCTTCTGACACGGGTGTGGATGGCTCTAGGACCTCTCACCCAGCCAAAAAGGCACAGTGGCTGTCTTCCTTCACCTGAGCCACATGACTTCTGTGACTACAAACATTTAGAAGATGAGATAAACAAGTCAACCCATAAATGCAAAAACAAGCTCCGTAGCTCAATTCCATACTCCAAACGCTGTACGAGGGAAAAATTCATCTAGGATGTTTCTCAAGACAGAAGTTGGGCTTATCAGCTAGCAGCAGGCAGAAGGCAAATCAAGACTTCACCAAGCTGATCGCCGCATACAAATTCCTTCAAACAAAACAAAAGGACAGCTCGCACTGAATAACAAATTTCCTGCAATGACAAGTAAGTATTCTACATAAAACTTGACAGAGCCAGGCTGCATTTCCACAAGCAGTTGAGCTGGTCAGGAGAGGTCTTCTCCCCCTTCCTTTGCAAGGGCCCTGGTCCTTGTCAGGACCTCCTACGAGCTACTTCACTAGACTTTCAGATTAGTGAGTTCAATCAGCTCAAAAAGGGTCCCACAAGATAAGGGCAAGAGGAAGATGGGAACTCCTCCTTTTGGCAGCAACAACGTTTTGATTCTGCAGACCCCGTACACAGGAATTGCCATCTAACTGGGCTTCACCGGAGACGTTTTAACATGGAGCAATTGACCTCCAGGTGTATGTGGCATTCACGCAGCCAAAGAGAGCTGAAGAGAGTGGCCATGCTTTAAATCGATTATTTCATGGCCAAACTTTTTCCAAAAGTGCCACGCAGATGCAACACGTCCAGCTTTTAGAGAGCTAGAAAGGCCTGAAAAAACAAGCAATTACAGTTAAGTGCATTTACAGCTCTAAGAACATTGTTTCATTAACAGAGTTTGACAGCCCACCAAACACATGATGTCAGGGCAGCACCACCGCATACTTCTGCCTTAACTCATCAGCAGCCTCTTTATCCGTCTCTATAGGCAGGAATTCCCAAACTGGTTCTGCTTACAATCCCCCACTTCTGTCAGGCTCCCGACCCCAAACGCTGGGGTAAACAAGGCCGTTTCTGTCGGGCCCGTGACCCTGCTCCCCAACGGCCGCGGCCTCCCCTGGGGTCATAACCCCCAGTGGGGGAACCCTTGTTCGAGGGGATAACAGCGCTCAGAGTCACTCTGAGCCGCTCAAAGACTACACTGACAATGAGGTTGGTGGGGCGGGGGGGAGAGGGCAGTGAGGAAAAAAAAAAAAAAGAAAAAAAA